AACAGGTATTACCCCCCTAAAGCCAGTCCAGGAATGGGAGGGAACCCTGTACTTTTTCAGTACATTAAACAACAAACCACGAGATGGTCTATACCCTCTCTGGTTTCCAGAACAATATGCCACCAGAACCTCTTTTCACTAGTCCCTGCCTTTCCTAAGGGAGAGATTCCAAACCCTTAGTTAGCATCTGGGACAGAACACCTTAGCAACTCACTCCAGAGATGCACACTTTTACTCTTCAATGGTAGCATATATGGAGAGCGTTTAGGCCACAGGATTTAGCCTTGGAATTCAGGTACAACATCAAAGACAATTTAGCAATAAGAAGATCTTTATTCAGTACAGAGCTTAGCATAGACTACCAGAGATTACAAAAATAACAAAGGCTAGGGCAATTTGCCTTAACTACACATTAATGATTCATAGTTACCACGTCAGGAACATTCATCAGTCCAAGATAGTCCAAGTACCAGGGGATTTTGATGGGAAATCCCATTTTTGCACACCATGTGCTCCAAGTCACAAAGCAACTCTTTGTCTCTCAAGAGGCAGCATTTTTAGGTGCCATAAAACAGATAATGACAAGAGGAGGAAGGGAGAGCTAAGCAAGCAAAGAGAAGAGCTAAGCTACTCACTCCCAGAGGAATCAATCAATTATAGCCCAATTCCAGTCACAAATTAGATGTGGCTGCCAATTGCGAGTGGGCATGGGTGTGCCCAATTATTGGTTGCCATAGCTGCAACACAGGAATGGCTAGAAGTTTGGAGCCCCGCCTGCAGTCAGGTGACCCCAACTCCAGCTACTTCATGGTCTACGTGACTAGTCGCATGTGGGCCAGAATGTGCAGCCATGAGGTCTGGCGTTTGGCATGAAAGTGTGAAAGAATGTGGGTTTATGCCATGGCTATTGAGGCCATGTGGCCCCCACCATTTGGCTTGCAACAGGAAACAAGACACAGCATGTTATCAAAAGACATCACTGGAGAAGGCATGTGGATATAGAAAGCAATTTTTCTGTACAGGGGTATAAATCCAATCTCTTCTCTTCTTCTTCTACCCGACCTGACTGTCAGTCCCACATACATAAGGTGACAAAAACCTCCCTGTTGTTTCATGTGTCTCCAAGCATCGTGAAGGGGAAGGAGGAGCTTCAGGCCATGCCATTTTCACCAGTGGAAACAGCCACCAGGGAGACCTGTTATCCCTTTTCTTGGGCTCCACATGCCCATTCTAGGACACGTGGAACCTGAGGAACGGGGAAACAGCCTTTCCCAGGACATGTGGAGCCTGAGGAAGGGGGAAACAGTCCCCTCCCTAGCCATTTCAGCTGATGAAAACAGCACAGGAGGGAAGCCTGAAACCTTTCTTTCCCCCTTACAGTGTTTGGAGTGACAAGAGGTTTTTAAATGTTAGTCCCCGGATGTGCATATGATCCAGAGTTGGGCTGGCACTTCTGACCCAACTCATGTCACACGTACCCTGTATTCGGGCCAGGGGTCATTTCCTGCAGGAGCGCACAGAAGCAGCGCTCCGGCAGTAAAGAGCCCAGGGGGCGGGCACATGCAACAAGCCCTGCCCCCTGCTCCCAGCAGCCCTCAGTCAGAGCAAGAAGCAGCAGCAGCTCTCAGTCAGAGCAAGAAGCAGCCAGGCAAGCTGCATAGCCCCCCCCCGCCCCCCCGGTTCAAAATAGTCCAGTGGCACCTTTAAGACCAAGTTTTATTCAGGTACAAGCTCTCCCTCCTCTGCGAGGAAAAATAGGGAAGCAACACTTCCTCCCGCCAAGGGCGTAAGTGATTGGTTGTTTAAGTACATAGAAATGCACAGCCTTCAAGAGTGGGTGCCAAGAGTCTTTCTGTTTAGGAGCTAGTGCAATACGGAACAGATCATGTCTCTTAGAGGTTTCTAAAACGTAAACACAGAGTGGATTTAAATCTCAAAATTAATAAATATAAATAAATTTGTACGGAGACAAAATGGGGGTGCTCTGGTAGCATTCGTCCCCTGGGGAGAACTGTGAATGTGTGTCAGCCGCGCTCAGACAGTCCCAATGGAGTTTCCGCATCTTTCAATGGTCCCCTGTTGCAAACTGAGTCTTTGACAAGGTTTTTTTCTTCTAGGCTGTGCTATCTGTTTTACAGATTTCTATCTCTGAACTCGGAGACATTAAGTGTACTGTTAATGGAGGTAAATCTATAAAAATGTTCTTTTTCCCGTCTCTCTTCCCCACTCTACAGTAGGGTTGCCGGGTCCCACCTGGCTGCCGGCAAGGGGCTCCGGGGTCCAGTCCGGGATCTTCTGCTATGCGTGCCGCAATGACATCACCTGGAAGTAAGGTCATCACGTCACTGACGTCAGGGTGATGACATCAATTTTTGGACATAACTCTATGGTTTGAGCCCCATTTTACTGTAGAGTATTGCCCTAAAACTAGAGCGTCACCCCCCGACGTCAGCGATGGGATGGCGTCACTCCTGGGTGACATCGCCACGTCGTGTTCTGGGGCTTTTGCAGGCAGGGTTTCTCCCCGTTAGCCAACTGGCCGGTGGCAAAAAGGGGCCCACAAAAGGGGGGGAACCCCCATCTAAATTGGGGGCCTGGCAACCGTACTCTACAGTTGCTTATCTTTAGTAATTTGCAAATGGTCACTTTGCTGGAAGAAACCCTACTTGGACCTGGGAAATAAAAGGGGAAGTTATCCATGGAGTTGCTGTAAAATCCCCTTTTGAGAGTAAAAGATCTAGTCTTAAAAATGGCTATGGTGGTCACTTCCAGTGTTCCCTCTAAGCTGAGTTACTGTGAGCTAGCTCACAGATTTTTAGCCTCCAGCTCACAGATTTTTGTCTTAGCTCAGGAAGGATGGGGCTCCAGAGCAAACTAATTTATGCAGCAGCCAAATGGCTCACTCACAACTTTAGTGCCGGTAGCTCACAAAGTAGAATTTTTGCTCACAAGACTCCACAGCTTAGAGGGAACATTGGACTCACTTCCTCTCCCCAGGGAATCCTGGGAACTGTAGTTCTGTGTGAGGAGGCTGCAATACTAACAAGAGTTCTTGGTGTCCTCTTCAAACTGCCATTCCCAGGATTGTCCAACTTCTAACTGTCACTCCTGAAGGACATACCCATTCATCCACTCAGAAACACTTTCCAAAACCCCTTTCCCTCTCTGTCAATCACACCACACTTGTCTCTTCAAGCACTCTAGTCCACCACAGAGCCATGCAACCAAACTTTTAAAGAGACACACGCACATATAAAACAAGGAATCATTACAGGGGTGGTGGTGTTATATTCTTTTACAGCATAGGTATGGAGGGCATAGAGCAAAGGATGATGTCTCTTAAGGGAAAACGCCCCCAAAATGTCAGCAGTCATCTCATAATCCAATACTGAGCAATCTGCATTGATGTAGACACAGCCTTCCGAAGAGTATGTCCATTTGAGTTGGAAGAATACAAGTATGGAAACCAGTAACCGCCCAGGTTTCAATAGAAATGCAGTACATTAAGCTGAACACGATCCATACTTTTATGACTTCTTCTATCGAACAAATGTCACTTTGTCAAGATGGGGAGCAGATATTTCATTGTATTAAATCTAACCTAGAGCAGGGGGCAAGTCCGTCTATCCTCTCTTTCCCCGTGTTTGCCTAATAAGGCGAGGCTGTGTCTCCCTCCCCTACCCCCCTACTGCCGGGAACTTCCCACGAATAAAAACAAAAGATTCTTAAGGGAAGGGAAAGAAAGGTTGTCTAATTGACCGGTTGGGTCCACTGTGTAAAAAGCCAAATTCTAAAAGGTTACCATTACGTAAAGTTGTTGTGCCAAATGCTACGGCAGTGATTCCTTGACAACTGGGTACCGCACTGTAAAATATGTCTGCCCTTCCCCCTTTCAAACAGGTCGGGGGGATTGTTGCTTCATCAGATGGGGAATTTGAGACCCAGTCTACCCAAACAGGCAGCCGCATGATAAAAAGCCACGCCAGAAATTCAGGAGAGAATTCTAGGCTGGAACTTTTCTCCCTGATCTCTAGCTCTCTATATGCAGGGATTTTGGGGGTGTGTGGGGGGGGAAGTATACAGTGATGCGATTCCTGCCATCTTGAGGTTGAAGCGGTGCGATCCAGGAGCAGTTTTACTTTGTGGTCAGCTGTTAGGGTAGATCGGGCTAAGTGTCATTTGTGTGATATTTTTATGCCTTCCCTGTTCATATATTCTTTCCTTTTGTTTCTTTTGTGGTTCCCAGGCTTCGACATCAAGCCCACAAAGAGCTCTATGCTTACAAACAGGTGAGCCATTTCCCCCTCATTTTCTCTTTTTAGGATATGTTGTCTGCCACACAACGGTTGAATTTTGGGGCAGAGATGGTCTGGGGGGGTGGAGGTGTGGCCAGGCCTGTAGCCTAATATAAGAATGTAAGAAGATCCATGCTGGATCAGACCAATGGTCCACCTAGTCCAGCATCCTGTCTCACACGGTGGCCAACCAGTTTCTCCGGAGGGCCAGCAAAAGGGCAGAGAGGCCGAGGCCTTCCCCTGATAAGAACATCAGAAGAGCCCTGCTGGATCAGACCAGTGAGGGTCCATCTAGTCCAGCATCCTGTCTCACACGGTGGCCAACCAGTTCCTCTGGAGGGCCAACAACAGGACAGAGAGGATGAGGCCTTCCCCTGAGAAAAACATAAGAAGAGCCCTGCTGGATCAGACCAGTGGTCCATCTGGTCCAGCATCCTGTCTCACGCAGTGACCACTGGCTAACTAGTTCCTCTGGAGTGCCAACAACAGTAATTTGAACGCAGCCTCCCTTTTCTGTGCTCCTAGCAAGACGCACGCTAATGTTATAGTGGTCCTTGGTGCCAACAGGGTATTTGAACCACTGTGGCTAAAGCCTTTTGTTCTTTGAAGCTCTGAAGTAAGATGGGGTGTTTTTTTTTGTGGGCCCAGTCTTGCAGGCATAAATCATGTTTGCAGCTATATCTGCTGCCCTGTTTAAAAAGGTAAAGGTAAAGGTTCCCTTGCTCGAAAGCCAGTCGAATCCGACTCTAGGGTTGCAGTGCTCATCTCCGTTTCAAAGCCGAAGAGCCAGCGCTGTCCGAAGACGTTTCCGTGGTCATGTGGCCGGCATGACTAGACGCCAAGGCGCACGGAACGCTGTTACCTTCCCACCGAAGGGGTGCCTATTTATCTACTTGCAATTTCTTGCTTTCGAACTGCTAGGTTGGCAGGAGCTGGAACTAGAGACGGGAGCTCACTCCGTCATGCGGCACACTTGGGTCTCGAACTGCTGAACTACTGACCTTCCACAGCCTGCAGTTCAGCGTCTTAACCCACTTGAGCCACCGCAGCTCCTGTTTACTCTGTTGTTAACGAGTGCTTCTCTCCTTGCAGGTTATTCTAAAGGAAAAAGTAAAAGAACTTAACTTGCACGAGGTAAGAACTTCACTCGCACGAGGCTTCTCTCTTCTCTATCACCCCTTCTCTCTCTTTGGCTTTGAGCCTATGCAGGCATCCCTCCGATACTCTGAGTTCAGAGATGAGCCCTGCAGACGTCATCTCGGGATACGGGGTGGTCTTGACCCGGCCGGAGCGTCAATGGCTGGGCTTAGGCTGAGAGGCAGAAGTCAAGTCCTTTCCGAGGGCGTTGCCAGGAGAGCCAGAGCGAGAGCCAAATCGGGAGTCCGAAAGAGGGGTTGTCCGTAGCAGGGGTCAGGGAGCCAGGAATCCGAGCCAGAGTGGGGGTCCGACGACAGGAGCTGAAGGTGGCACACATCGAGGCAACTCATTGCTTCCACGGGAGCCCAATCCAGACTGGGAGTTATGTAGGCCTCCGGCCGGGCTTCCTGTGGCGATGGCGGCGGTAGTGCTCCTGCTGATACTCAGGACTCGGCGCTCGGCTTCCCTGCCAGCATGCATTTGACAGTGGGGTGGCTAAGTCTCTGTGGAGCCGTTCCCTTAGCTGAACCACCTGCGGAGGTCAGGCGGGCTCTCCAATCGCACCTGTGCCTCTTCGGCTGCTGCGGGACCAGGTGTGGTGTTAACCAGGGGGAGCTCCAGCAGTAAAGAGCCCAGGGGGCGGGCATACGCAACAAGCCCTGCCCCCTGCTCCCAGCAGCCCTCAGTCAGAGCAAGAAGCAGCCAGGCAAGCTGCAGAGCCCCCCCCCCCGCCCCGGCCCAAAATAGTCCAGTGGCACCTTTAAGACCAAGTTTTATTCAGGTACCAGCTCTCCCTCCTCTGCGAGGACAGATCTGCATGTCCCCCCCCCCGTAGCTTCCGGTGATGTCAGGGTGTGTGGCATATGCAAATAAGTTATGCTAATGAGATATGCTAATGAGCTCCTGCACCTCTTTTTCTATGAAATGAATGACCCCTGGGCAGGACTGTAATCTGAAGAACCCAGTTTGATTCCCCACTCCTCCACATGCAGCCAGCTGGGTGACCTTGGGTCAGTCACAAGTTCTGTTAGAGCTGTTCTCTCAAGACGAGCAGTTCTCGAAAAAGCTCGCTCAGCCCCACCTGCCTCACAGGGTGTCTGTTGTGGGGAGGGGAAGGGAAGGTGATTCCCTGAGTTTATCCCTGAATTTAGTTATAGATGCAACTCTGTATGCAAGTTATACTGCTATTTTGTCACACTCTAGTTACATTGAATGTAGTTGTATTACTTTTGTTTTTGGAAATATTATAAACAAAATATTTTTTTGAAAAAATAAAAAATATCTTCCCCGCTCACCCCAGATGTCACACAATTCATCACATACTGAGTGACCGTGTGGGTCTTTCTTTGGTCCTTTCCGCACTTGGATCTCATCCCTGGTTTTATCAGAGTTCAACTCACAACACAATACCTTGCATTTATCCCTGGTTATAACAGCATCCGTTTATCCCGAAACAAGTGTGGGGTGAAACCGGGGTGACCTCAGTGTAATGTGGAAACAAAAAAATACCCCGAGATAATTACAGGGGTGAAACCGAGTGTAGTGTAGACTGTTAAAATACCCCGAGATAATTACAGGGGTGAACTCGAGTGTAGTTTAGAATGTTAAAATACCCCGAGATAATTACAGGGGTGAAACCGAGTGTAGTGTAGAATGTTAAAATACCCTGAGATAATTACAGGAGTGAACTTGCATGTAGTGTAGAATGTAAGGATTGAACGGGGATTTAAGGTCTAGTGCAGAAAGGACCCTAGTCTGACTTCACCCGTGGAAAATGGCTGCCCTTCCAGCTCTTCTGTTGCCCAGGGCTGTTCGTGGTTAAGGGTAGAGTCTGCAAAGCTGCACCAGCAGGGATCTCAAGCAAGTAATGTGTAAACTGCTTTCATGGAAGGCATGCCCTGGCCAGCCGCCTGGGATTCCTGTGCAGTTTCTAACCATTAGGGAAGAGGATTCAGCTAGACAGGAGTCGTTTCCCGGAAACTCATCCTTTATCATCTTGCCCGGTACTTTAAAAATAATGCAAAATGCTAATTGTGCCGATCCTCTAGATCTCCATTCACAAATGCGAGATTTTTTCCTCCATATCTTTTGCTGACCGTCCTCCTCTTTTGTTCCCTTACTTCTCTTTCAGATCTGTGCTGTTTGTTTGGAGGAATTTAAGCCCAAAGATGAACTGGGGATCTGTCCGTGCAAACATGCCTTCCACAGAAAGTAAGTGCCAACTCAGCGGATCACTGCAAAGATAATCTTGGGCAGCTAACAGTTTATGAACTGCGACTAGCAGCCCCCCCCCCAACCCCATAGGAATAGGTCTTTCCCAACATTGCTACCTGATATCCTTCCTAACAGGTTCTGTGATCATTTCCAGGCACAGCATGGAGTTGGTGCAAGAACTGAGGCTCCAGCATCATCCGGCCCTTTCTTTAGAGCCGTATGGAAAGCTCGTAAAATATTTGAGTGTATCTGGGCCCTAGAAATTTAATTATTTATTTAATTAATTTATTTGCATTTTTACCCCTCCCTCCCCAGAGGAGATTAGATTTATACCCCGCCCTTCACTCAGAGTCTCAGAGCAGTTTACAAACTCCTTCCCCTTCCCCTCCCCATAACAGACACCCAGGTAGGTGGGGCTGAGAGAGTTCTTTCCAGAACTGTCCTTGAGAGAACAGCTCTGACAGAATTATGGCTTGCCCAAGGTCATCCAGCAGCTGCAAGTGGAGGAGTGGGGAAATGGCATGCAAGTTGAAAACTGTTTAAGATCAGGCTGCCACACGGTCCACTGGTTGGTTAGGACAGCTAGATTCGAGTCTGGGAGCCGCTTTAAGAGACCGAGAAGATTTTCGGCGCTCGAACTTTCGAGAGTGAAATCTTCGCCAGATACTTAACGAAGGGAGCACCGAATCTCGAAAGCTTGTTTCCCGAACATATTGATGGTCTCTAAGGTTCTACCTCTGAAACTAACCTATTTATCAGGATACACCCATCAGGAGCCCATCAGGAATCCTGTTTGCGGAAGACAATTTTCAGCCGCTTGAGCAAGGGATTTCTTCCCCTCACCCTGTTATTTTTTTTCCCTTTTAATAATAATAAATAATAATAATACTTTCAATGTATTGATCGCTCTTTCCCACACACCTGCGGGCTCAGAGCGATTTACAGTTACTCTTGACAATTGGACTAACAATATTCATGGGGGATAGGGAAGACAAACATACAGCATTTTTAATTACACACACATTGTAGCTAGCCGGGGCTTCATCTGCGGGCTGGATCAGTCATGTTCCGTGTATTCTTGTTGGCTGGCTGACGACGTCAGGGCTTCTTGATGTTGTGCTGCCACACTGCCACCGCAGTTTTAACCATCCCTCACTCTGTGTTTGATGCCTCCTGGAGTGCGAATGCCACATTTTAATCACTCGCTGTGTGAAGAAGTATTTCCTTTTATCCGTCCAGAATCGGCTGGATTTCGAGAGTGTCGGTAGCTGGTTCCGTCTCAGAAGACGACAAGAAAGGGGAAAGGGGAAAAAAACTGAACCTAAAACTTAGAATCCAGAACCTGAGAAAGGTTAGTCAAATGCAAGAAAGGGGGCCAGTATTAAAAACATAATGAAGGAAATATATAAAAAATACATGTATTTATTAATCACAAATGTTAAAATTATATAAGGGCCCAATCACACGTTATGTATCCATAACAAACTCTGTGCCTGGTGGTTTTATCTTGAAACAACTTGCTTCTGGTCCTTATTGAATTTATACTTTGTATTTACATGATTGTACTATATTTCTATAATAGCCAATATGTTCCTCACTATTGACCTCTTAGGAAGGCCTACATAGGCCGAAATGCGTCAGGTCAGATTTATCAGCCCTTGTGTTTTATCGTTTGTTATTTATACATAACGTGTGATTGGGCCCTTATATAATTTTAAAATCTGTGATTAATAAATGCATGTATTTTTTATATATTTCCTTCATTACGTTTTTAATATCGGCCCCCTTTCTTGCATTTGACTAACCTTTGTTAAGTTCCGTCTCAGAAGAAGCATTATCGGATAAGATGCCTACTGTTGTACAAGATGGGTGGCCGTCAATGTTCCCTCTAAGCTATGGAGCCCTGTGAGCAAAAATTCTACTTTGTGAGCTACTGGCATTAAAGTTGTGAGCAGGTGATTTGGCTGCTGCATAAATTAGTTTGCTCTGGAGCCCTCCTTCCTGGGCTAAGACAAAAAGGCGTGAGCCAGAGGCTAAAAAACTGAGCTAGCTCACACTAACTCATCTTAGAGGGAACACTGGTGGCCGTGCTAGTCTGTCTGTAGCTGGAGAAAAGAGCAGGAGTCCAGGAGCACCATAAAGACTAATAAAATCTGTGGCAAGGGAAGAGCTCCTGTGATTCACCGCTTTAAGGTGCTCCTGGACTCTTGCTCTTTTCTACTGCTGTTGTACAAGTGTTGTACGAGTATTGGCCATCCCAAAACAAAGAGGAGAATCTCTCTCTCTTTCTCTCTCTCTCAAAATCTTGCTTTAGTCTTATGCAGGTTAAAATAAATCCACTTAACGAGTTTTAATCAATGAAGGCTTTTGTCGTCAGGCGACAGCCATGGCTTGACAGTTGGCCCGGAAGAAACGACTGACGTCCCCTCTCTCCACCTGCAGGTGCCTCATCAAGTGGCTGGAGGTCCGCAAGGTGTGCCCGCTTTGCAACATGCCCGTCCTTCAGCTGGCCCAGCTTCACAGCAAGCAGGATCACCCCGGTCCTCCGCAGGAGCCCCTGCCCGGGGCGGCAAACCTTGTATAGCTTCCCCCGCGAGATGCACTTTTCTGGCACGCCTGATTGCCCATCGGACTCTTTCAGAGACTTTCCCGCCGCCAACCACGTGTCTTGCGGCCTCGGAGGCTCTTCCAGGATTCCCTTTGTCTCATGAAGAACTCCCAGGATGCCCTTGGAGGGGAGAAAGGCCGGATGCCGGGACTGTGGACACACCTGTAGTGCAACGCCCGCCAGTGCAACAAGAAGGCCCAGTGGGAAGTCTCTGGGTTCACTTTTCTTTTCTTTTTGAAGAGCACTTTACAAACAGGTGCATCTCTCCAGGCACCCGTGACTCGCGTTGGATCAGGTGGTGGACAAACCCAAAGCCGTCTAAGGGAGACAGAAGTCGAGATGAGCAAACTCCCTGCACGTGTGGGGAATGTTTGTCTTTGCCTCATGGAACAAAAAACGAGACTCTGCGCGCTCTTTGCTGTGCCCCGCGATTCCACCGCCCCCTGGTGGTTACCTCATACCGAATTGCCTGTGGCTTTTGGAACCGTCAACGGCAAGGCAGAATCTAGATGTTGCTGTTGGATCCGGGATGCTTGTCAGTGCTGTTGTGTCTGTTGTGGGGAGGGGAAGGGCAAGGAGTTTGTAAACCGCTCTGAGACTCCAAGTGAAGGGCGGGGTATAAATCCAATCTCTTCTTCTTCTTCCTCTTCCTCTCGGGCTGGGGTGCAGCAGCGAAACTCCCTTGCAGCCTCGGAGGAAGAGTTAGTGCTTATTAGAGACAGTGGTTCGGAGAATCCACAAGGCAGCACAGAAAACATTTCGTTCGAGAGGCCAATTGTTCACCAGTGGCCCGATTGGAACTGTAAGGCACTTGAACACGCACACCCCTGGTCCCCGACTAAAAATAAACGATCCCTTAAGTGCCCTAAAGAGAGAAACAAATTTCCTAGGTTATTCATCGACAATTTCTTCACCCGTGAGACCCAAGGGAGAACAAGGGGGCCCCTTCAGCATCCCAGCGAGAGGGGCCACAGGCGCTTGGATTCCCTAGAGAGAGAAACAAATTTCCTAGGTTTCCAAGGGGGCCCCTTCAGCATCCAAGCGAGAGGGGCCACAGGCGCTTGGATTCCACACCGGACTACGGGCGCATCAGTCTTCATCCCGCAATGTGAATCTGTTTCGAACTATGCGCAAGCACAAAGTGCGTTTTCGCAGCTGAGTCTTAAAGCGACTCTCTTCTTCAGTCGGGTGTCTCACGGACTGACGTGGGCCTGAATGCTCATCTGCAGTACAAATGCCTCTTTACCCGCAGTTAACGGTGACAAAAGGTTTGGGCAGACAGCCTGATGGCATCTCCAAGGAGACTGAAATTTCACTGGTAGAACTGTCCTTTGTCCTCTTCCCCCCGCCGCCAGTTCTGCACAACCACTCTTTCAGGGTTTATAACATCATTGTGGAAGGAAGACCAGAATTCCACCCACTATAACCACAACTGTGCCAGGTTATACATTGAAAGAGCCACATTTTCTCCTGTTGCAGCAAGCGGGGCAGAAGGGTTTTTTTTCTTAGGGAAATTCCTGCCACGTAATTCCACATTCTCAGCTTTTAATTTTTTTAAAAAAAAGCCAGCTTCCTATCCTGACTTTGGTTCAGGCAGGCTGAGAAAGTCAGTAAAGGGGTGTGTTGTGAATTCTCAGGAGCCTTGGGGAGTGGCCACAGAATAGTCCGGGGATTAGTATTCCTTTTCGTGACAACTGAAAGCAGAGCAAACTATACCCAATCAGTCAACATGTGCTCAATTGCATAATTTATCCAGCTTTTACTCCCTTTGGAATTTGGTTTCCGTGGGGTAGAAATTGGACTTCTTCCGTCCTGGAGATCTTCTGGAACGCTTAAGGGCTCATTTTGTAGCAGGTACTCATTTGCATATTAAGTGACACACCCCTAATGTAGCCAATCCTCCCAGAGCTTACAGTAGCTCCTGTAAGAAGAGCTCTGTAAGCTCTTGGAGGATTGGCTACATTAGAGGGGTGTGTGGCCTAATATACAAAGGAGTACCTGCTGGGCCGTGGCTCAGTGAGCAGAGCAGAGGTCCTGGGTTCAATCCCTTTGAGCGGGGCTAGTGAAGGTGGGCTTCGATCCACCAGCAACTTCTGCAGATAGGAGCAGGGCTTTTTTTTCCTGGGGGGGGATGCACCGGAACAGGGTTCGGGAACCTCTTTGACAAAATTAGTTTTTCAGATGTTTAAAAGTTCGTGGGTTTTCGGTGTACAGATTGAAAACTTCGTTTCCCTCTTGAGGAATGTTCCCTCTAAGCTGTGGGGTCTCGTGAGCAAAAATTCTACTTGGTGAGCTTCTGGCATTAAAGTTGTGAGCGAGCGATTTGGTTTCTGCTGGTGTTCCCTCTAAGCTGAGTTGGGGGGAGCTAGCTCACAGTTTTTTTAGCCTGAGGCTCAGACAGTTTTTATCTTAGCTCAGGAAGGGCTGGCTCCAGAGCAAACTAATTGATACAGTAGCCAAATCGCTCGCTCACCACTTTAATGCCAGCAGCTCACAAGACTCCACAGCTTAGAGGGAACATTGGCTACTGCGTAAATTAGTTTGCTCTGGAGCCGTCCTTCCTGAGCTGAGACAAAAATGTGTGAGCCGGAGGCTAAAAAACTGTGAGCTAGCTCACACTAACTCAGCTTAGAGGGAACTCTGCTCTTGAGAGTTCTGGCACCTCTTTTTCCAAGAAAAGAAAAAAGCCCTGGAAAGGAAGTATTGCTGTCAGTGGAAATGGACTTCCTCACCTCCTCCAGCTGCACCTCAGACCCTCAGCCTACCAAAGTCAGTATTGTCTACTCAGACTGGCAGCCGCTCTCCAGGGTCTTGGGTAGAGGTCTTTCACATCATCTACTACCAGATAGTTTAACTGGAGATGCCAGGGATTGAACCTGGGACCTTCTGCGTGCCAACCACTGAGCCACAGCCCCTCTGAGGGTGGATGTGTGCAAGCTACAAACCCTGCTCTGAAAGGAATTTCAGTTTGGTGTAGTGGTTAAGTGCACCAGTTTGGTGTAGTGGTTAAGTGCGCGGACTCTAATCTGGGAGAACCGGGTTTGATTCCCCATTCCTCCACTTGCACCTGGCTGGGTGACCTTGGGCAAGCCGTAGTTCTGATAAGAGCCGTTCTTGAAAAAAGAGCAGTTTCTGTCAGAGCTCTCTCGGCCCCACCGACCTCCCAGGGAGTCTGTTGTGGGGAGGGGAAGGGAAAGGAGTTTGTAAGCCGCTCTGAGATTCCTTTGGGTAGTGAAGGGCGGGGTATAAATCCAGTCTCTTCTTCTTCAGTCACAAGTTCTCTCACAGCTGTTCGTGAAAGAGCAGTTTCTGTCAAGAGCTCTCTCAGCCCCACCTGCCTCCCAGGGTGTCTGTTGTGGGGAGGGGAAGGGAGAGGAGTTTGTAAGCCGCTCTGAGACTCCTTCGGGTAGTGAAGGGCGGGGTTATAAATCCAATCTCGTCGTCTTCTTCAAGACTAACAAAAATTGTGGCAGGCTATGAGCTTTCACGAGTCATTGCTCAGATGAGTTATGAAAGCTCCCCTGCCACAGATTTTGTTAGTCTTTAAGGTGCTCCTGGACTCTTGCTCTTTTCTGCTGCTACAGACAGACTAACACGGTCACCCATCTTGATCTATCTCCAAAGGTGAGAGGTGGAGGCGAAGTCCATGCAGGTAACTTACAGCCCATCCGAGTCTCAGGAAAATCAACTTCTACACTTTTGTTTTTCTTTCAGTAAGAGTTTTCACTAGTATTGGGTTACAAACGAGAAAATTTAAAAACAGGAGAGCAAAATCTCCCAGGGGGCTCGAAACCTGGAGGGTTATAATAAAAACTGTAAGATCTAGACATTTGATGCTGGCACCTAACACTCTGGATTTATTCAACGAGGGAATGAAGTTAAAGTCAATTTGAATTTTTTAAAAAGAATGAGCACTTGACAATTTGTTCGTGGCACACGCAGGTCTCGCGGATGAAAATCTGGACGAGGAAACGTGGACTTGTAGGGTTAGAAATCCGTGTTTTCCACGCCTCAATTCCATGTATTGCTCAGAAATTGGGACTCTAAAATGTTTATTTTTTTTTTTAAAAAAGAAAAATTACAAATAATATAGCCCAGAAATCTGAGCACTTGACAATTTGTTCGTGGCACTCACAGGTCTCGCGGATGAAAATCTGGACGAGGAAACATGTAGGGTTAGAAATCCGTGTTTTCCACGCCTCAATTCCATGTATTGCTCAGAAATTGGGACTCTAAAATGCCAGCCACTGTGTTAGCAATGGTGGTTATCCGAACGTGGAAAATTCATGTAATTCCAGCCGATCTTCCTTTGGGACTCCAATTCCTGTAGTCGCTGCAGAAAATGCAGCTCTTAAGAATATTGCTCTGTCTCAGAGCGGACTGGAATCATGTTTACCCTTCTATGAATTTGGACTTCCTGAAAGTAAGATGATCTTGCGTTATTAAAAAAAAAAAGCAAGTTCCTAGTCCATATTGTTGCAGAGAAATCTCTGGCGGCAAGAATGCGTGGTAGTGGTACGCTGTGCATCGTTGTTATTTTGGTGTTTGCAAAAGAAAATGGATGGTATCCCAAAATGTTGCTCTCCCTTTGAAGCACGATTAAGCAACAATACTTGCTGTACAAAGGAGACGGCAAAGAGATCCTTCGATATTAGGTCACACTGTATAAGTTTTTCTAACAACGGCATAGACTGTTCTTCCCGGACCTTTTCAAAGGAGGTAGCCTTCCAATAACTTTGGCACACATTTCAAGAGCTGCTGCCAACTAGGTCCACGATAAGTCTTGACAACTTTAGACCACCCAAAACTCAGTTTAACCTCTTCCCTTCCGAACCTTCTTGTACATAGCGCGGGGACTGGCAAAAGGCGTTTGCGGACTCTGCGGATCCTCCTGAGTCCGTAGACACACCTGTACACTAAAATAAGTAAACGGAATTCTGCAGCAGAGTTATTTTTTTGTAAAAAAAGAAAGGAAACAAAGCATTTGCTGGGGTTTTTTATTTTGTAAGCTATATTTTTGTATATTTAATTGCTATTTTAAAAATAAATCTAATTTACCCCCCCTTTTTTGTTGCTAATCATGGTTCTTAAAAATTGCCCCCCGGGGAGGGAAGGGAATGTAAACGTTTGCATGTGATTTGACTTGAACTGTAAATAAAGTCGGATTTTGGAAATAAGGATTTTACGTGTTCGTCAATTACCGTCATTTGTCTGAATAGGGTTTTTTTGCAAATTGAGGAAAGGGATGAAATTGCCGTGGTCGTAGAGAGAAGCAAGAGGTGAAATTAAAACGCAGTGTGTGTTGATTATCAGGATGCTGCTGTTTTGCCATCTCAGATAAGATCACTTCTAGATCAGACAAGTCGTCCATCTAGTCCAGCATCCTTTCTCTTAAACAGTGGCCAACCGGTTCCTCTGGAGGGCCAACAATGGCACAGGGGCCAAGGCCTTCTAATGGGATTTAGAGGGTGACTGCCTCTGAACATGGAGGTTCTCTTTAGTCATCATGGCTAGTAGCCTCTCCTCCATGAACCTAGTAAGTACTTGGATGGAAGACTACCAAAGAAGCCCAGGGTTGCTATGCAGAGGAAGGCAATGGCAAACCGCCTCTGTTTGTCTTTGTCCCTGACCTGGATGGCCCAGGCTAACCCAATCTTGCCAGATCTCAGAAGCTAAGCAGGGCTGGTCCTGGATAGTAGTTGGATGAGAGACCACCAAGAAAATCCAATGGCAAACCATCTCTGTTCATCTCTTGCCTTGAAAACCCTTCAGGGGTCACCTTCCGTCAGCTATAACGTGACAGCGCTTTACACAAACAGACGCAACCAGTGTGATGCGGCAGCAAAGAAGGCAAATGCGATCATAGGGTGTATCAACAGATGCCTACTGTTTAGGACAGATGTGATAGCACCGCTGTACGCTGCACTGGTTAAACCTCATTGGAAGTACTGTGTCTAGTTCTGGAGGCCTTTTTATAAGAA